GGAGTGATTTGTGCCAACCACGGAGCAGCAAAACTAGCTGACGCCCAAGTAAGCTGCAGTGTCCCCTCTCAGCTGAGTGAATGTGAGCCAGCTCAAATGCCAGGGAGGAAGGTAAACAATGAGGGGGGGAGACATCCTCCCCCTATGGGGATTTCATCAGTCTCAGGGCCTGGCCAAGCCAATTCCCTTCTCTGTCGCGTCCCTTTAGCTGACACACAGCTATTCTCGCCAGTATGTGCCTCCTGAAGCACACTCAGTCGCCACCAGTGTTCCCTCTAAGCTGAGTTAGTGTGAGCTAGCTCACAGTTTTTTAACTTCCAGCTCACACATTCTTGTCTTCGCTCAGGAAGGATGGGGCTCCAGAGCAAACTAATTTATGCAGCAGCCCAATCGCTCACTCACAACTTTAATGCCAGCAGCTCACAAAGTAGAATTTTTGCTCACAAGACTCCACAGCTTAGAGGGAACACTGGTCGCCACCAGGCTGTTTTAGAGTTTCTTGTTGTCTCAGTTAGTTTACAAAGCCATGTTTTCCCCCTGTAACTGACCAGCTCCCACCCCACCCCACCCCAATTACACAGAAGCCCACACTTTACTAATGCTCCCTCTAAGCTGTGGAGTCTTACGAGCAGAAATTCTACTTTGTGAGCTACTGGCCTTAAAGTTGGGAGTGAGCAATTTGGCTACTGCATAAATTAGTCTGCTCTGGAGCCCTCCTTCCTGAGCTAAGACAAGAATGTGTGAGACGGAGGCTAAAGAATTGTGAGCTGGCTCACATTCACTCAGCTGAGAGGGGACACTGCAGCTTACTTGGGCGTCAGCTAGTTTTGCTGCTCCGTGGTTGGCACAAATCACTCCCTTGACAATTAGATACACCAAGCAGGGATTAGCCTCCTCTGCGTGCCCTCTCTGATAGCCTTTGCCTCCCCACCCACCACCCTTGCTCCCTCCATCCGCCTTCCTCCGCTCTGGCTTCGGCTTCGCCTCCCCTCCCCCCCATCTTCCTTCCTGCTTTCCCTGCATGCCTTACTCACTCCTCCTTCCTCTTGCAAAACACGGCAGGTTTCACAATGAAGCTGCAGTGGCCACTCTGGATCATGGAGGGCCACCCCACCCCAAAAAGCAGTAGTGAGCTTTCCTGTGGTTGCCATGCCATCTAAAATGGCTAGTGAGAGCTTTGCATTTTATCAAATTGTTTTAATTTTATCCCCCTTTAAAAAAAATGGTTTCCAGTCCTAACCTTTTTAGAAAGTGAAGAATATATACTCCCCTCTTGGTCAGATTACATAAAATGGATTTGAAGGCAAATCATTGACAGGTGGACATAATCAATTCAAGTATCATTTTGTTATATTAATGCTCTGGTCTTTATGTTACTCTTGTTCTAGTAACTGTATGAATTGTCTGATAACTGAGACACTCAATACCTTTAAAATCCTTAATTAGCACCCATACGATAATGTGACTTTGAAGTTACAAAAGGTTATTTTGCTACCTCTAGTTGGGGTGAAAATAGTTCTGATTAAGCTTGCTTCAAGATGTTCCTGCGTATTTTACAATTTATATTTTGTCTTATTGTACAAATTCAAAAAAACCAAAGTTGTTTCATGAATTCATTTTGGATGTATAACTTGCTTAACTTCAATAAAAATTTAATTAAAAACAACAACAACAAATGATTTCCCCATGAGCCTGGGAGTTTACCGTTTGCAAAACCAGCTCCCCTTTCTGCACCCAGAAGCTCCGCTGGGCTGATTTTCTGTCCTGCACGATGGGGCCATTGTTGAAACAAGGTACACAGATAATCATTACAGGCTGCCAACGTTCCCTCTAAGCCGTGGAGTCTTGTGAGCAAAGATTCTACTTTGTGAGCTACTGGCACTAAAGTTGTGAGCAAACCATTTGGCTACTGCATCAATTAGTTTGCTCTGGAGCCCTCCTTCCTGGGCTGAGACAAAAATGTGTGAGCTGGAGGCTAAAAAACTGTGAGCCAGCTCACACTAATTCAGCTTGGAGGGAACACTGCTTACAGCCACTGATAGACTCACGTTCTAAGAGTCCGTGCAATCCTTTAACGGCGCCTGTGCTAGTGGCAATGGATTAAATAGGTTGGCTCATTCCAAACTGACCGATGGCCCCAAACCCTTGCGTTTTGGGCTGATGGTCACCCTGCCTGAGTCCCCCGCAACAGAGAACGGTTTTGTGGTGCAGAGGTGAGAGGACCCATGTTTAAGCCTCCACTCGGCCACAAGGCTCACCTTTGCTCTCTCTCTCTCAGCTGATTCTCACCGCCCACGGCCTTTTTCTCCTGGCCCTTATGGCAAAATGCGGGTGGCAAGTTCTGTGCCAGGAACTTAATTCCCAGGCCTGCATGGTCCCAATTGTGACTGGGGCGGCGCCAGGGGACCCCCATGGGCTGTTTCCCACACCTGATGCAGCAGCCCGGGCGAGCTCTTTGCCCCACTGGGCGCTCCACATGCACTAATACAGGAAAGCCAGGCATACCCCTGCTGCCAATGAGAGCCATTTTGCTTCACAAGAACACACCCAGCACCAGGGAACCGGTAATGTATTCAATAAGCTGCCATTGAATGCATAATGTGTTATGAAAACATCTAATTGAAATGCCATGCTATGTTAAGCTTCGTCCTGGGCTAGGATCCAAATACATCCAATCACATTGCTAGCCCAGGAAGCACCTAACCAATCACTTATCAGCAAGCTCCCTGAGCGGGAACGTCCATGATTGGTCCTTATGCATGCAACTTATTGGTTGGTAATTGTACAGTAGGCGTGGCTACATTCGCCGGGAGAGTTTAAAAGCAGGACAGCTGCAATGTAAAAGCTGTTCTGGCTATCAGATGTTGATCTGTGTTGGAGTTGTGTTCGAGTTGCTGAATAAAGCTGATCTTTTGCTGAATCACTCTCCGACTACTTGTTAAGCGGGTGACTTAACAGAACCTCTGGCCATAGAGACAGCTCCGTGTCCACCCTGCTGGTCAGGGGGAGAATTGATGGTGCTGGAACTGTGGAAGCGTGCAGGGCTGGAGACAGCCAGTCTGGGGGGTGTCACAAGAGGCAAGACCAGCATAGTCTCACGTCCGGAGATTAAAACAGTAAAGCTCTTGGCGGAAGAGGTTTCGGGAGGGCAGAGGGAGGCCAACCCCCCCAAGCCCAGATTGGGTCCTGCAGCCCCTGACTTAGCTGGAGAGGAGGGGGTTTAAGGCAGCCTGCTCAGCGGAAGGCCTGCTGACGTGGCCAAGCAGGACTGCAGCCTTGCTCTGCAGCCGCCCGTCCAGGACGGGGTGTCAGCGGAGGCTTTCCTGGCTTGCACTTTCTTACACACAATTGTCTTCATTGTAGCTTCCTATCATTACTTTTGTGAATAAAAGCTTTAGCTTGTTAAAGGAGTTATTAAGACTTCACTTTATAGATATGGCAACTTGGGAATTTTTATGGAAAAATGCTATGAAAATATCAACGTGTAATAATTTAAAAGAAAACTGTTATAAGATGATGTATAGATGGTACATGACACCAAAAAAGATTGCAAATATAAATAGTAATATGTCAAACAAATGTTGGAAATGTAAAAAAATGGAAGGCTCCTTATATCGTATGTGGTAGACATGTGACAAGGCAAGAAGTTATGTTTAAAAGCAGGACAGCTGCAATGTAAAAGCTGTTCTGGCTATCAGATGTTGATCCGTGTTGGAGTTGTGTTCGAGTTGCTGATCTTTTGCTGAATCACTCTCCGACTGCTTTGTTAAGCGGGCGACTTAACAGCCGCCCTGAGCCTATTGGGGAGGGCGGGGTATAAATTTAATAACTAAATAAATAAATAAATAAACAAACCTCTGGCCATAAAGACAGCTCCATGTCCACCCTGCTGGTCAGGGGGAGAATTGATGGTGCTGGAACTGTGGAAGCGTGCAGGGCTGGAGACAGCCAGTCTGGGGGGTGTCACAAGAGGCAAGACCAGCATAGTCTCACGTCCGGAGATTAAAACAGTAAAGCTCTTGGCGGAAGAGGTTTCGGGAGGGCAGAGGGAGGCCAACCCCCCCAAGCCCAGATTGGGTCCTGCAGCCCCTGACTTAGCTGGAGAGGAGGGGGTTTAAGGCAGCCTGCTCAGCTGAAGGCCTGCTGACGTGACCAGCGGGCCTGCAGCCTTGCTCTGCTTCCGCCCGTCCAGGACGGGGAGTCAGCTGAATGCTGAGTCTCTCCTGGCTTGCACTTTCTTACACGCAGTTGTCTTCATGGTAGCTTCCTATCATTACTATTGTGAATTAAAGCTGTAGCTTGTTAAAGGAGTTGAGACTTCACTTTATCCTTCTCCTGTCCAGAGAGCTCTTTCATGCTGCCTCTTTCTCCTGCTTTGGCATCCGTCTGTCCCCCCCCCACCCCACCCCAAAGGGTGTTTTGGCAACAGCAGTGGTGGGGTGGGGGTGGCGACGACAGGTTCCCTACCAGCCCCCCTCCCATTCTCGAGAGGAGGAGGAGATTGGATCTATACCCCGCCCTTCACTTGGAGTCTCAGCGTGGCTGACAAGCTCCTTCCCCTTCCCCTCCCCACAACAGACACCCTGTGAGGTCGGTGGGGCTGAGAGAGCTCTGACAGAAACTGCTCTTTTTCAAGGACAGCTGTGCCAGAGCTTGCGGCTGACCCAAGGTCACATCAGCAGGTGCAAGTGGAGGAGTGGGGAATCAAACCTGGCTCTCTCCGATTAGAGTCCGCGCACTTAGATTAGAGTCTCATGGGGGAGGCTGGAATTCCTGCTTATGACCTCAGCTTTCTGGATCCACTCCGCTCTATCTGCCGCTCACTGGCAGGGGGAATCTCCACAGGGCTGGGACATTGCACACCCCCTGCACCAAACACCGCCCCCTCCGGGCCACTCCAGGTCAGGGAAAAGGCACGGGAGAAGCCACAGAGCCCCCCCTCTTTCCTTGCGCTCTGTGGCCCTGATCTGAATGGGACCCGTGCCGTTTTTCACACTCACCTGCTCAAAGGGCCAGACAGAGTCCACCTTGGGCTTGATCTTGCCTTGGCTGTACAGGGCCACCAGCTTGGTCACCACGCCACTGATGAGCTCCACTTCCTCGTCCAGGTAGCCCAGGTGGTAGCCACAGACAGCCTTGTTGAGGTGCAGCAGCTGCAGAGCATTGATGCTGAACTGGTTCCACCAGGTCTTGGCCATGGCCATCAGGTTCTTCCTCTGCCCTGTTAGCAAGTTGGCCACACCTGGCAAGGAGAAGCACAAGGAGTTTTAACACCCTCTGCTGGGAATGTGCAGGGAAACCAGCCCCGCCCTGACAGGTGGCTCTCTCAGGCCCCTGCTGGAGACGGGGGCCTGGAAGTCTTAAAACTTGAGATGCTGCATCACGTGCCACACTCCAAAGCAATCTAATTTTGACGAAAAATGGTTCCCATTTTTGGACTATATTCTTACACAAGATTGCCAACCACATCACCCTCTGTATCATACTTTGATTCTTTCTTAATGGCAGTCTTTCACATTAAATATCTTCCTCTCTTTCATCCTTTTGTTTTTACCAATCTGCGTCCGATCGTGGAACTCTTGGATCCCACTCATATCTAATATGCATGACACTACCGAACCTCAAACATGGTCTACTTCTAAAGGGTGCTACAAGGCCTAATCGAACTGCGAATGTTTTTAAAGACAGCCAGTGCTCGTCCCGGAACAAAAATTGTAACCGTGAGTGTGATAAATGAACATGATTCAACTTATGTATGTGCGCTATGATTTACAAATGTAAATCTTCAATAAAGTTTATAAAATCTTGAAGCTCCATCTTTATATTGCTGGCAAAATAAACTTTGGGAATACTTTGTACTCAGTCGAATTTCTAAGAACACCTTTGCGGAAAACACTGCAAAAAACCAAAAATTATTTCAAGCGACTTGGTATCCCATATTAGAATATCTGGCAAACAGTGGCATAGTACCAAAAAATTCTTATTATGAAAAATTGTTACATTTTTAAGATATTACATGATGTATTTCTGTAAGTTATTCTAGTTCCAACCTTTAATTACTCAAAAGAAATGGTTTTCTTTTTGTTGTTTCAATATGCTCTCCTATAGTTATGCTATGTTCTACTTATTGATATATGGTTAATATAAGCCTGTCGTGTGCGTGCTTTGCTGTTCTTAAAGGTGCCACTGGACTCAGACTCTGTTCTGTCTCTCCTACGGCGTGCCAACTCCATCGGTGTCACCAGTGGGAGAGGAAGTATTTTCTAATTTTTCTCCACATAGTTTTGTCCTTGCTTGGCCATGGAAGAGAAAACTGGAAAGCAGTACGAGGAATCCATTCGGAAGAACTGTATTCACTTTCATGTCGTCTAAAAAAGCAACTTGGTTTATGTCAGCCAGCCACCTGCTCAGGAGTTTGGAGATGAGCCCACGAAGGATTTGACCAGTCACTACATCTGGGTCAGGAAAGGACCAACTCACAGTGAAGAGTGACCCTGGCTGGGCTTCCCCTCTTGGCGGTGTCCTTCCAACCTCTGACATCTGCTCTGCAAGCTCTTTCCTGCCAAGCGGCAGCAACGGCCAAGGGCAGAGGGCCTTGGGGACCAGGCCCACGCTAAAGCAAGGGGGAGGGGGCAGAGACCTGGAGCCGTTTGAGACACAAGCTCAGATCTCAGGTGGTCCCGGAGTCAACAGCGGGCCAATGTCACCCCCCCAGAGTCCAGGCAAGTGCTGCCACCACCCCTTCCTGGGTCGCAAGGCCCCCCCTCCCCCTTCCAGCACGGCTTTGTGAAGGTTTTGTCTGCACCCACCACCAATGCTCCCTCTAAGCTGTAGTCTTGTGAGCAAAAATTCTACTTTGTGAGCTGCTGGCATTAAAGTTGTGAGTGAGCAATTAGGCTACTGGCTCATCGTCCACCCATCGATTTGAAAGCTTCCGCGAGTAGATAAAATGGGAACACACATGGAGGGTGGGCACACCAATCTCCCTTGTGGGAGGGTGTTAGCTGACGGTCGGGACACCCTGGTTGAGGTCGGAAAAAGGCGGAAGAACTTCTCGGCTACAAAATCCCTGCCATGGATGTTTCCGGCCAGGCGGTGGCAGTGCGGCGATGTGACATACGGGTCCTGAAGCCTGGTTGACAAGCAGCTGTTCGGAAAATGACTGAGCCAAGCCAGAAGGTGTTTACACCGTGCAGTGACAGCGTGTGCAATTAAATGAATATATGTTGTCTTCCCTATCCCCTATGAACATTGTTAGTCCCCTGTCTAAAATGTGTAACTGTACATCGCTTTGAGCCCACTGGGGAAAGCGATTAATAAATTGAAAGTATTATTATTTATTATTATTATTACTGCATAAATTAGTTTGCTCTAGAGCCCTCCTTCCTGAGCTGAGACAAAGGTGTGTGAACTGGAGGCTAGAAAACTGTGAGCTAGCTCACACTGACTCAGCTTGGAGGGAACACGGTGCCACCATCCTGACTGAGGAGGGAATAACTCAACGGCCTTTGAATTTGCCTCCAGCTCACCTCAGAGGAGGGAAGAAAGTTTCTGTCACAGCTACAGAGGATTCAGCTGACCCAGACAAAGGGCAACCAGCTTCAGTGTAGATCTCCGCAGACTGCACAGGAAGGAGTGACCAAGAAAACTGGACTACCTTTTGACCTACTTACCGTAGGTGACCAGTTTGCCCATGGGCTTCAGGAGGTGAAAGCCTTTTGTGGTATCTGAGCCCCCCAAGGGGTCCAAGACAACATCTACACCTGGGCAGGGAAAGGAAGAAAGTTGTCACTTTAATAGGCTTAACAGAATCTCCAGCAGAAAGAAGAGGAAGATATTGGATTTATACCCCGCCCTTCACAACCCAAGGGAGTCTCAGAGCGGCTGACAAACTCCTTTCCCTTCCCCTCCCCACAACAGACACCCTGTGAGGTAGGCGGGGCTGAGAGAGCTCTGACAGAAACTGCTCTTTTTCAAGAACAGCTCTTGTCAGAACTACGACTTGCCCAAGGTCATCCAGCCAGGTGTAAGTGGAGGAGTGGGGAATCAAACTCGGTTCTCCCAGATTAGAGTCCGCGCACTTAACCACTACACCAAACTGACTCTTCATACAAATGCCAGTGGATATGGTTAAATATTTGAAATTCTGAGATCCATGTCGAAAGCTACAAAGATACGCCTCAATTTTACTGCGTCCACTTGGCCAGGTTCAACTCTCCACCTTCTTTTGGGAGCTCTCCCAGTCCAACAGCACCCATCTTGGGGCTCCAGGAAAGAATGCCTCAAATGAGCCGGACCTGCAGCAGCCCTAGGAACGAGCCCAGCTGGCTACTCAATCAAATTATTCACATTCACACCCTTTCAATTACAAAGTATCCCTGCATGATTGGGTGGCAGCCCTCAAGCAAGAAGTAGACCGTAAAGCCAGCTGAGAAAGATGGAGCTGCTCAGTTAAAAGCCTGGGTACAGAGAAACGTTTCAGTCCGGGGCCTGGAGGAGAGGAGGAGAGCGCCAGGCCAGCCTCGAGGGGGAGGGTATTCCAAAGGCAAGGTGCCACCACTGAAAAGCCCCCGTCTCTAGTCACTTCACTTGCTTAAGTGACTTAAGTCCTTAAGTAGGGGGCAGTCGTGCAAACCACTACCCAAGACTTGGGATCTCTCCACCGGAACCACCACCCATTTCAGCTGAAACCCAGACCAGGACTCAGGGAAGCTGCCGTGACTGACCTTTCGGAGAGATTTTTCGGACTTCCTCCACGTAATCAGCTCCCCGGTAATCAATGGGATGGGTGACTCCATTTTCCCTGAGATTTTTTTGCTTGGGGGGGGAGGCTGTTCCAAAAATGGTGACGTTTTCCACCGTCTGGCAGAGTTGGACTGCGGCAGTTCCCACCCCACCTAGGATGGGGAAAGCAGGCCACGTAAGCAGACACGCCGAGAGCTGCTGGGGACTGCCGGCAGCCGAGTGCAACATGCAGAGCCCTGGCAGGCTCCCGTCCCACTCCAGGCCGGGAAGGGGGAGGAACCCTCCCTGCTGCACGGAAAGTTCACCATCAGATCTTACAGGCAGTGGCTGCTGTGTCAGCTTTAACACACCAGAAATGTGATGTAGATGGACGGAGGCACAGACATTCAATGAGCCATGTAATCTCCAGGCCAGCCTAACTTGCAGGGGTCATTTCCCACAGGAGCGCACAGGAGCAGAGCTCCGGCAGTAAAGAGCCCAGGGGGGTGGGCACATGCAACAAGCCCCACCCCCTGCTCCCAGCAGCCCTCAGTTAGAGCAAGAAGCAGCCAGGTAAGTTGCAGAGCTCCCCCCAAGCCCCCCAGTTCAAAACAGTCCAATGGCACTTTTAAGACAAAGTTTTATTCAGGTACAAGCTCTCCCTCCTCTGCGAGGACAGATCTGCACGTTCCCGCCCCCCCCCCAATAGCTAGCAATCCAAAACAGTCCAGTGGAGCCTGAGCGGTGGGTGTTGCCTCCTGACACACTTCCGGTGATGTCAGCGGGTGTGGCATATGCAAATGAGTTATGCTAATGAGTTATGCTAATGAGCTCCTGCACCTCTTTTTCAACGAAATGACCCCTGCTAACTTGGCCCACTAAGAGAGGGTTTTACCAGTACTACGAAGTAGTGACCTCATCCTCAGGACATCCCCTGACAACACTCCTCAAGAATCCGGGGATTTGCATTTTGGGGGGATGGAAAGAACTCTTTACAACCCCCCCCCCCTTTGCAGTTGTTCCCAGGGCCTGTGAGCCATGACCATTCACCAGGGAACGCCCCAGAAAAGTCAGAACCCCACGGAGGAGTCCGGGCTGGGCTGGCATAGCCTCCCCAGCACAGAAGGGCTCCGTACCTGCTGCCATGTGGACCAGGACACTCTGGTTGGGTCGCAGGTTGCCGAAGTCAAAGAGGACCATGTAGGCCGTGATATAATTGACCAGGAAGGCCGCACCTTCCTCAAAGCTCATCCCTTCTGGCATCAGGAACGTCTGGTTGGCTGGAACGGTCACCACTTCCTGCCAGAGCCCCGATCTGGATAATATCATCACTTTATCACCAACCTGGAACGAGAAGAGACATTTAGCAGGGCTGGCAGGATGAAGGCCGGAGGCTGGCGGGCCAGACCCAACATCCCTGCCAGAGGAGAGGGGCCCTTCTGGACCAAAGTGGATTCCGTTTTGAGTGGAACACACGTGGGCAAAGGCAACCTCCATCACGGCCGTCAACCACTGTTCCAGAAAGGCAGCAAGAACTTCCCCACTTTCGGCTGTGGCTGGCCAGTGCAGGTCTGCTCAGGAGCCGTTCTCTGCAGCGACTGCACTGCATCAGCTCTACCTAAATGCTGGAAAAAACAGCCCAGTGGACAAATGACCTGATCTGACCTGGGGCTCCTGTCCCCCTGGCCTCTTTCTAATGGATTCAGAGAAGAGTCGCAAAGCCAGAAAATGGGTGCAAAGTCAAAGCAAAGAGGACTCAGTATGTTTATCAAAGAAAACAAGGCTGTAATCCAAGGTAATTCAACCTGAGGCTGGAATTCAATATTGCCAGCTACTAAATCTTTAGCTCCTCTGGATCCAGATCTAATTAGCCGGACTGATGCCCCTCCCTCTTTTTTTGTCAAAGACCTCTTACCTGGAGAACTCTGCAGAGCAGGATCTACTCTTATCCTTTATGATCTACTTGCCAAAATCTGAGCATATGGAAATTACAGTTAGATTGGAAGAACTAACACACACACACAAAACCTTTATTGGCATGAAAGCACAAAACATCATGGAAATATGGGAAAATACTAAGATGCATCAGTCACTTACACTTGGCTATTCAAGCCTCATCTTCTGATCGCCTAATATAAAAATTTTGCAAGAGGCTCCATTATTTCGCAATTAAACAGAAGAAAGTGAACAATTGAGTCATCAGAGTGCCAGCTCTTACCCCCTAGAAATGGAGTAATAAAATGAGATCGGATATCCCTATAGAGGGGGCAATGAAGTATGGTGTGTGTAAAAAGGTAAAGGTTCCCTTGCTCGAAAGCCAGTCGAATCCGACTCTAGGGTTGCGGTGCTCATCTCCGTTTCCAAGCCAAAGAGCCAGCGCTGTCCGAAGACATTTCCGTGGTCATGTGGCCGGCATGACTAAACGCCAAGGCGCACGGAACGCTGTTACCCTCCCACCGAAGTGGTACCTATTTATCGACTTGCAATTTCTTGCTTTCGAACTGCTAGGTTGGCAGGCTGGTGTGTGTAGTGGATTCTATATATTTTAGAGAGCAAGGACAAAGCCTGTCTACATATGGTATCTGGCGGTACCTCCCTAAAAGCACCTCTGATGGCAGAACATTAAAGCGTGCAAGCATGTATGCACTGCGATGATGTGGGGCTGTTACACTTGACAGATACTTCGCAGTAGAGCCCATGTCAAAAGTCCCCAACCTGCTCGGGGAGCATCTGCTGGCTGCGCATTCCCTAAATTCTTGCCTTTCAATGTCAAGAAATCTTTGTTTAATGATAGCATAGGCTTGTTTATCTGAAAAGGGGGCTAAATAATCCGGGGATATTCCCATTGTAGAGAGTTTCTCCTCTACATATCCAAGCCATGGAGAGAGATGGGACTCAGTTAACATGTGAGTAATAATACTTTTAGCTTTAGCATGGAAATGAAGTTTGAGCCAGAACTGAGTTGTTATCAGCCACGCTATGGTCGATAGAAGCCTTTGATTGGTTTCTAAG